TGAGACAACTCCTAGAGTTTCTCTTTTGCCTCCCCCTCTCTCCCAAGGTGGGGGTGAGGGGGCAGGAAGGGGGTGTAGTCGAAAGAGGACCTGAGACATAAGCCCTTGTTTCAGAGGCCTCGTCTGAGGCCTGAGGCCTGAGGCCTGAGCTAAAGTAATGGTCAAAACTTGCTAATATAAAGCAATTGTGAACAAGAGGCAGGGCCTGCTCACAGAATATGGAAAGAACAGGGCTGATATTGCAGAAATACACATTCCTAAGTATTTCTAGGCATAAGAATACATAGACAAATACATTCCAGAAAGGTGGTACCAGAACACCTCGATACCAAACACATTCCCCAAAGATAACAGGAACACACTGACCCATCCTAAAGATAAGGTCAGTATGACAGCATGATGAATAGAGATGTTTTGCTTGAACCAACATGTACAAGGTAATGGGTGGGACCCAAATACGTCAAAGGGTGGCACCCAGATACGTCAGAGGTGGCATCTCGCTATGTCAGAGGGACAATACATAACTTGTTTGTACTGGGGTATAAAGAGGTATCTCTGAGAGGGTGTTGGGGTCTGGCCGAGGGGAGAATGGAAAGTCCCGCCATTCACTGAGTCAGTCTATTGTCAGGGGCATACATGCCTTGAATGTATTTGTAGCAAGTATAGGGCATTAATACCGTCCTTTGTTGGCAATAAACCTGGCCAAGTTCCTTCACTGAAAACCAAGTCTGTGGATTTATTGGGCAGTTAAATCAAAGTCTGCTATCTCCGCTATCTACGTAGAGCTGGGACAGCACGCTGAAAGAACACACACACAGCCAAACATCTGACCCCAGGGGGCTGGAGTAGAAATTTGTTATTGGGGTTAAAAAACAACAAATTCTGAAACCTCTCCATTCCAGCTCATCTTTTGCTGGATTGAATGACACTAGGGACCCAGAAACAAAGCTCCATTCCTCCCCAGCCACTGGATCCAGGGTGGGGAGTAAGTAGGCATGCAGTACTCACTTCCCTTTGTGTCTCGGACCCAGGGTATGAGTAACCAACATAGGGATTTATGTGATTGAAGGCATATAGTCCAAATCAGAGTCTAGCTCTACACTTGCAGGTTTATGCTTGCTTTTCCCTGCCAATGCAACGGGAAGTGCGTGGATTTTTTTCAGACACACGCTTCCTAATGAGACAATCTAATGTGTGAACTGCAGTGAGTTCATAAACCCAGAGAATCTTGCTCACCAGAATCCGAATAGCCTGCAAATAGTTTGCCGCAGCTCTAGAACAAACACATTCGAAGAGTGCAAATTACTGCATGCATGTAAATAATTTCTTTCATGCCTCATTGCAAATGTAGCATTTATATATTCTTTTCTTGTAAGTTCCTAAGCTCTGTTTGTGTGAAAACATGACTATAAGGGAAGAAGGGGTTGTTTTTTGTTTTGTTTTTTAACATGCGGGCTGGTTTAAATTCACAAACACCGGGGAAGCCTTCATTTCCAATTTTCTTTTCACAGGATTAATGAAAACTGAACACTGCAAATAGTCATATTTTTCCCTTTAAATGTATAACCATGTTTAAGGGAAGCCAAGAATTATAATAATGTTCTAATCCATACTGACACAGTATAGAACTGTGGCCAATTGTGATTATTTCATACAAGATTTTTCAAACATATGGTAGAAAAGGAATTCAAAATTGATCTCCTAAAACTGCAAGAAGACTCTTAATGAGGAAAAGTCAATATACACATCTTGTCAATTGTTCTGAGAAAGGATCATTGCAAGATGGGACGGCTGGTATTTCCTATCACTGGGATGATATGCACACCAGTTTTATGTTCTTCTTTTGCTCCTCGCTGAACCATCCTAAATTCAATCAAGGCAGCTTCAATTTTTGTGTGTGGCTTTTTATTTCTTAAAAATTTATCACCTTTATTTTTATTATCTGAAATCCAAACAGTCTGCATGGTTATTGGCTTTATTTTGCAGTTTCATAGATGACCTAGGGTGACAGTTCTGAATGTCTTTGAGGAGACCCTAATGGAGACTACAGAAGAGCAGGTCTGTTCAGCGTGGCAAAGGTTGTCCATGGACACTGCTCCATCTCCCTATAGCTGCTCTGGGAGCCACATTACTCTTTTTACAAAAGCATAAATAAAACAAAATAACTTGTTTTAATCACAAACCCCAAATTAGCAAACACTGTGAAAGTGTAGTAAGTTTAAGGAATGTTAATTAAATGGTTGTGTCTTCTTTAGATAAATGGAGTCAGTGAGATAATTGTGAAAATATACTTAAAAGAAATGGGTTTAGGTAACTTTGAAATAATATTTTTTATTTGCTTTCCTCAGGCTTCAGTGATCAAAGAATGGTCTCCTATATAAGCAAGCTGTGAGATGTCATTTAGTGGCCATTAATAGTGAAATTAATTGACAGCATTTGTTACAGATGTCTGTATTTGAAGGAGAAAGAACAGCTTTTTAGTCCACCAGGTAGCGACAAGAGTTTATTCAGTAGGTTCCATTCCTTTTCAGGCAGAAATTAATTTTGTGAAATCACATACAGTAAGATAAGTCTTTGTCTCATTTTAGTTCACTAAAAAAATACTCAAGAGTCTTTATTCAGCGACAGTGCATTGTCTTCTGTAATACAATTAGTGACACACTCAGAATAGGAAAATTTCCATCTATGACAGTTGGTATAATCAAGAAACAGAGCCTATTGTAGTCAGTGTTTGCTTTGAGATGGACTCCAATTGCTTAGGAAGTTGGCATACACCTTGAAAGCATATTATTTTGAGAAAAATTATAACACTACATAATAAAGCCTTGTGATGTTTTGAAGTCATATTTCAAGGCATTATATGTAGCCATAGGGTAGCCAATTGTACCAACATACAAACTATATTCAAATAGTACTCACTGCTGGGCAATCATTAACATTTATTCCAGGGCTGGGTTTTTTTAGGCTTTTCAGTGTGTTGCCTCTGTCCTTTCAGCACAAGAAAATGTTATCTTGTAATGTAATATCTATCTATATCTATATATCTATATCTAGATAGATATATTAGGATAGGGTAACTGTGCCAGAAAGTGATGTTTTAAAAATAAGAACACAAATAATTAATGAATAAATTGTGGGTAATGCCAAGCAAAAAAGGCTTTTGTTTTGTGCACGTCTGTCTGTCTGTCTGTCTTCATAAACCAATTGCAGATGCCCTGAGCTGGTTGCTGTTTTCCATTCAGGTTGTCAGAATTTGTTGCCATCATCTTACCAATATTTATAATCTGCGTGGCATTACCCTTAATTCAGTGTTTTTAAAATGAGTCTCACATCTTGTCTGCACATTGTTAAAGAAGGCTTTAGGGTCTAGTGTCAGTTTGTATACCTCTAGCAAAAGGTTTGCCAACAATTACTGCACTTTTCTAAAATGCTGGTTTGAGGGGAGGCCTGATAAATCTAGCATTATGAATGCATTCTCATACTAGTGCTTTTAATAATACTTTAGTTAACATTTATATCATACTGACAGCATTTTTAGCCATGCATAATTATTTAAAAAGCAGCTTTTAAGAGCCAGCCTGGTTGCCTAATGACAGTGTTCTACTCTGCTCAGTGGAATATCTAGATTCAATTCACCATCCTTTTTTCTTGCTTTTGGAACCAGCTGAGGCTGGAAGTGTCATGGCTATGCTGCCCTCAGCCTCTGGGGTATAAAGTACTGGTATAATTATAGGGAATTCTGCAATTATCAAGGTGACCTCACCTTTATCTAGGACATAATTGGTATGTTTTCAAAGGTGATCGCTTTGTACATAAGCACAGACACTCCCAGGTATGTTAACCTACCTCTTCTCATTCAGGAAGTTACAATAGGTAAATAAATAAAATCATGTATAATATAGTATATATTATGTATACCATGGATAGGTGTTCAACTCCAAAATGTCACATAAATGATCTATTACTAGTGCTATTGATATATGCCAAGCAATGTTGAGGAGGTAGAAAGTGCCAAACAAATAACAGTTGCTACCCAGAAGACTTTACACAAGTTAATACAATGCAGATCAAAACTGAATAGTGCAGAGTAGAGTCTGGTCTGTCAGCTTGAATGCTTCATGAAATAGTGGTGGGTATTTAGAGGATAGAGCCCTTACTTAACAGATTTAAAAATTTTATTAAAGCTAATGTTATTACTTGGGAGACTGTTCCAACCATAAAGGGCAGCTTGAAAGAAGTGGGAGTGGGTGAAAGAGGAAAAGTGAGCAGATAAGAGAGAGGTTTGGCTGGAGCGTACAGAGCAGCGGGGGCATGGAAATTGATTTGAGAAGAGAGGGCAGAGCTAGATAGTACCTTGAAAGGGAGAAAAGTAGCAGGGACTTAATGTGAAAGGAGGGCAGAAACAGTGAAGGGAGTGGAGATGTGGGGAGACAGTTTGTGATACAGGCTGTAGTGAGATATTTTGCAACCCTGCTGAGAATCTGGCCCTATAATTTTAAAGTAGCCTTTTTTCCATGCACAGATTAGTTTATTAGTGAAATATTTTGCAAGCAGAATATTTCCTGTAATTCTCATACTAGAGAGAGATGCTTTCTTAAATGGATCTGCCGCCAAGCATCAATATTCTATTATCACAATGCGCCTATTACTTCAAAACATTTAAGGACACTTTGCAGTAAAATAAATGTAATAAGACAAATTTGTTTTTAAGGGTTAAACTGAGCTTTTCAGGTTTTTTATTTTAAAAGCCTGTTTAATCAAATTGATAGGCATGAAAAAGAAATTGTATGCAGGATCTATACCCAGGATCTAAAAAGAAAACACAATTGATTTTCAGTGATCATGAGGCATTGGTATTGTACATTTGACAGACATCTACTTTGCCTGCACAAGTGAGTGCTATTGGACTGATACATGGCTGTAGCAGGTAGATCAGAGTGAAAAATTGCAGTGTGCAAACTCAATAATAACCTCTCCCTTGTTTCATCATCTACCTACAGCAAATCCTACCAGAGCAGGAGGAAGAGAATACCCAGGCTCAGCTGAAGTGATTCGAGAATCCAGCAGCACAACAGGCATGGTGGTTGGAATCGTTGCAGCAGCGGCACTGTGTATCCTAATCCTTCTTTATGCCATGTACAAGTACAGAAACAGAGATGAAGGCTCGTACCATGTAGATGAGAGTCGAAACTACATCAGTAACTCAGCACAGTCCAATGGGGCTGTGATTAAGGAAAAACAGCCCAACAGTGCTAAAAGTTCCAACAAGAACAAGAAAAATAAGGATAAGGAATACTATGTCTGATCCCAACATCTAAGAGAACACTTGTATAGAAATAGTCTTCATTTTATCTGAGACATAATACAAACTTATTTACTTTACTTTTTATGAAGCACATAAAAAAAAGAAGACAGGGAACGCAATCAGAAAGGAAAGACTGTTTTAAAAACAAGCATTTCATGCTCTTGTTTTTCAGAAACAGGAGCCAATAAATTTCTAAATATCCACAGTGTTTTCATTTACTCTTCCTGTCTTTATGTTGCTGGAACATTTCTGAAAGACAATGATGATACCACGCATTCATAAAGCAACGAGTATTACTACAACATCAAGGCACAATATGAAACAAACTAAATAAAAAAACAAAACTCAGACACACACACACACACAGAAAAAAAAAGAAGCTACCTATGATTCTGGATTTAGCCAAAGTGCTAGCGCTTTCTTGAGAAGTAAGTTAGTCTTACTGCCAGAGAAGACTGTCATTATATATGGTGACTCAACAAGCAAACATAAAAAGTTTGCCACCTGGTGCAGTGAAACTGATTGGAAACTTGCATTTGAAATGAAGTGCTGGCTTTTCTGAAGACTTATGTAAAAACATTTTCAAAAAGCCCCTTTCTGGTTGTGAGGAAATAGTATGGAGGCCTTATTTTCAAAACAAAACAAAAAATGTGGAATATAAGGCACATTTTCACAAAAAGCAAACAAACATAGATGCAATCATTGGGAAATTTTCATGCACGCTTAATATGTTATTACATATGTTTATATAAAACACATCTATATGTGCTTTCTGGACCGTGATAAGTGATGTTTTATAGCCTGTTGTATAGAAAATGCAAACTATATCTGCTCTTCAGCCATTTTTGGTAAACTCAATGTTCTAAGTGTTCCTAGATATAGAAAGTTTTATGACATCTGGAGCAACAGACATAAATTCAGTTTTTTGCAGCCACTATAAATTGTCACAAATTTCTTCCTTTTTTTTTAAATTTACAGTGTAGTGATTATACTAAGGGGATGTGTATGAATGTATATAAGAGTCAGCTAATTTTTTTCTTACCTGTACAGCCTCTATTCTGTTGCAATTCAGTTATAGTAGTTTGTATGAAAGAAGTGGATTAAAAAGCAAAAAATATATATCTATTGTAACTTTCCTCTCCCCTCTAGTTCCCGTCCCCTGCTCCCAATGTACATCAATAAAGTCAATCAGAATTGCAGATTTTCCCATAAATTTATCACATTCATAAACGAGTTATCATTTAGCAAGGTAAAGTGACTTTTGGGTTCTAATCAAGGTTTCATCACTGAATAGTCTGTTTTGCTTTACAGAAATCTTACTCCCCAGGAAACTATGAAAAAGTTTAATTCCTTGTGAATCTTAATAGGAATCATACGGCATGTATTTGGCATTCTTTTACTACCCAGTTGGTTGGTAAGAGACCTAAAAAGGTCTACCACTTTAAATTACTTCCACTGAGGAATTACCCTTCCCCTAAATAAATAAATAAATAAATAACTTGAGATGCATCTTGCTAAACATTTTTCAAAGGTGTGCATTTTGTCATATGAGAAAGTATTTTAAGCTAAGTTGATTCCATAGTATTACATGATACATAACCTGGCGATGAAATATAAGTTGATCAGTGATCATATTTTAAAATAAAATTTAATTGCTGCATATATTAGTTAAGCACATATTAAATATCATAATGTTATAGATTTATACATTAAGGTTTTATTAATATTGTTTCATTGGGTTCACAGCAATAAATCATAGAGTTAACATATCACTTATACAGAGGTACAAAGAGAATACATTAGACAGAGAGAGTAGTTCAATAGAAATCTTCTGAATCATTGGAAGGCCTCCTAGGAGAAATATAGATATTCACACTTTACAGACAGGAAAAAAGAATTTAAAATTAGCTTTAAACAGCAGGGCCAGCACATCTTCTTGTGTGTTATTCACTGTAGCTGATGAAAAATGTGGGAACTGGTACAGCGATCTATCTTGGACATAGAGGACATATATCTGAGAATGCCACTGTGGTTGCCAAACAAATTGTGGTGCGTATCATAGTGTATATGTAATGGGATTTTTATTTTTATGATTGTTTGCAGAAAGTGAAAGTGAGGTTGCACAGCATTTTTTTTAATCCATTCAAAAAAAAATAGATCATTGTTCTCCTGTGGCATTCTTCACTTCCCCCACCTTTGTAAGTCAGCTGTATTCTGGGAAAGACAAGGAATAGGTATATTCAAGATCAATATTAAAATCATGATTTTTTTAGTCAGTGGGGAAAAAATAAGTTGACTGCCAGGTAATGTTCAGAACTGAGATTTCCAGCACTGAAAGGTATATAGAAGGGCAAAGATAACCTGTATATAGGAATTCTGAGATGGTACAATGTATGCTTTGGGCAGATTGAAATGTTTCTTTCCAGCTTGGTATTGACTGTATTAGCCTAGGAGGTGCAACCAGGCTATCTTTCAAGCAGTTAACATGCCAGTAAGTGAATATTTTAACTAAATGAATATATCAAGGAATAAAGGGTGTACAACTGTTAAAAGCAAACATTATTTACAACTCTTTCTGGAGGTTCTCCTTTTTCTCTTTGATTTCATGATTTAACAATGAAGATGCATAGAAGTATAAGTGCATCAGAATCTGAATTAAAATGTTTTAAACATTTTAATACCTAACATACCTAACAAAAATTGGATTCCATATCTATAACAATCTTATGTGTTTGACTGAGATAGCTTCATTTCTATTACTGTATAGTGTTGCCTTTTTAACAAAACACTAAAATAATATGTGAAATGATTTCATCCCCAAGAAATCAAAAAAGAGGCCCGATGCCCTAACCTTATAGTGCTTTCTGTGATAGATATTAACGAATTTTTTTGATTTGTTGCAAAGCCAATTTATCCATTATTGGAAATGCTAAGCAAGTGGAATTTACTGTTTTGTTAATAAAATGTTTCTTAATACAAATGTTGCATTGTTTTTTTCTCTTACCTTTGTTTTATATACAATATATATCATAAAATGGTGAAAACAATATAGTTTAAAGTGACAGGATTTTCTTTTAATTACAGGTCTACTTTGTGCATCTTTTACTATGTTGGTGAGCAGTGACTCATGTGAGTATTCTTATTGTCGTCAAAGGAGCTATTTTTGAGAGTAAGTGCTCACCAACATAACTGAAGGCTCCATCACCAACCTTAGAGCTGAAAGCATTTCATTAAAACAATCAATGTTTTTTAATCCAAAATGAAATATTTTGCAGAAATTATTTCAGCTGGAATTTTCCATTTTTATGTATTTAATTTAACCAAAAATAAAAATTGGGGGTTTTGTTTTTGAAAACTCAACATTTCATAACTTTCCCTCCCATCCCCTTTTCCAGTAGAAAAAAAGATGCCAAAAAGTAGGGAAATGGGAAGAAAACTTAGAAGGGAAAATGATTTTTATTTTGTTGACAAATTAGTTTCTAAATCGATGAAAAAAATTAAAATAGAAACTTTTCATTTCTCTACAATTTGTTCCTGGCAAATACATATAAACTTTCAACCAGTTTTAGTTCCCGTTCATCAGTCCATCCCTGTTCAGCAAGGCATTAAACACCTGTTTAAATACAGGCAAGTGCTTATATTCCATTGACTTGAGCATGTGCCAAAGTTAATGAACTTGAGTGCTTTGCTGAATAAAGATAGACTTAAGCACATGCTTAAATGCTTTGGGCCCCAATTCAGAAAGATACTTAAGCATGTACCTAACTTTAAGCACATCAGTAATCCCATTCTTTTCAATAGGACTACTTATATATGCCTAGTTAGGCACATGCTTAAGTACTTCACTTAACTGGGCCCAAACTCTCTAGAGAAAGCAAGACATATCTCCAAGTGGTGGAAACCAGCATAACTCTGCTGACTTTCTTTATTCTAAAATGTCACCTGCACATATTTCATGTAACAACAAAACTGTAAACGGAACTGCTTTAAAACTGTGGTTACAGTATGGCTTTCATAAATATAACTTATCATATATTTAGGAACTTGTTTTATGTTTAATTAATGAAAGGAAATGTAGTAATAATGGTTATTCCTCCAGTCCTAAGCCCCACTGTATTTGTTCATTTCTCTGACACCTGTATTCTGTTCTCCCTTCAAACAAACTAATGGCCTCTCCGCACTCATATCATCAGTCATTATTTGCTGCTTTAAGTGTTGGCTTCCATAATCAATCATCACTTCAGCCAGGTAATTAGAAAGGTTTCATATGATGGGAAATCTTAGAACAATGAAAACAGCATTCTAGTGTGTTATAAATAACAGCTGCAGGCATTATTCCTCTCATTGTGTCCTCTTTATATTTCAACACAATAGCTTATATCGAGGATTCGATTGTTTCCTTTTAAACTCAGTATATTATCACACTGATAACAGAAAGTCACTTTTAAATTCAGCACAATACAAAGGGTGCTTTATCACCATGTGAGAGTATGGCTTACTCTGTATTGCCAACTCATATTATTATTTTTTTTTGAGTCTACCAATATCTGGTGATTTTTTTAAAGCCCCAGCTCCTGGAGTCAGGTGATTATGAGAGAATCTCAATGTTCTTTTAAAAAAAGGTTTCTAGCTCTCATGGTTGCAAATAAAAGATTGCAAAAGTGACTCCTAACAGCTCAGAAACCAGAACATATAATAAGAACCCAAACATCCAATTTGGTTAAAATCTTATAATTTTTAAGCCAATCTTATGGCTTTTGTGGCCTGACTCGTGATTTTTGAATGCTTGGAGATGGCAATGCTGCTTCCCTTGCTATCATCAGCTTTGACCAGGGCCTCTGTTTCCCCATTGGATGGGTGGTTCTAGCCCTCTAGCCAAACCAAAAAGTTTCCCTTTCTGGGATAAACTAAAACATCCTCCTCAGGAAAAAAAACAAACTCTAGGTTTCAGCCCCCCTCATCAGCTGCTGGGTCAGTATGAACCCCCACGGCGATCTTTTTCCCAGTGCCTCTCAAGGCTTTCTCCCAGGCTATTTTGCAGACTTCTGACTCAAACTCTTTCCCTTTGGAAGCCAAACTTTGACATGATTTTCCACAGAGCCTCATGGTTGACAGAGTCAAAGGCTTTGGTTAGATCTATAAAGGCCATGTACAGCTCCTGGTGTTGTTCTTGATATTTTTCCTGGTTGTGCCTGGCTGTGAAAATCATGTTGATTGTGTCTCATGATGGTCTGAAGCCACATTGGGACTCTGGAAGTACTTCCTCTGCAAGAGGTAGCAGGCGATTCAGTAAGATTTTAGCAAGAATCTTCCCAGCGATGGAGAGGAGAGCAATGCCACAGTCGGCCCCAGCTCCCTTTTTGAAAATGGTGACAATGTTAGCGTTACGTAAGTCAGTAGGGATTTCTTCGGTGCACCAGATTTTGAGCAGT